TGTCAGCTGCCCGCCATTGGCTACCTCGTGACGTCATGGTGATGTTGGTCAATGCTCTGGTCTTGTCGCGAGTCCGCTACTGCCTGGCAGTATACGGAAATGCATCTTCAGAAGTTCGTGATCGCATCCAGAAGATCATAAACTTCTGTGCAAGAACAGTCACAGGCCGATCCAAGCGTGACCGCGTTAGTGATGCAGTTCGCTCGCTGGAGTGGCTACGGGCCACTTCGCTTTACCAATATAGCACCATCACAGCATTCCGTACAGTGATCACATGTGGTGAACCACTCTCGTTGGCGGAAAACATCAGCGTGCACGAACACTATCACAACACGCGTCGCGCAGGGCAATATAGACCGAGATCAATCAGAACCGAGTTGGGGAAGCGTATGTTTGCCTACTCTGCTCCTGCACTGTACAATGAGTTACCGCGGGCAGTGCGGGAGACGGGTGCCTGCGGCTTTAAGCGCGTGCTCAAAAACCATCTGATAGACTGTGAGTGACGTCATCGGCTGCGTGGGAGTGTTGTATGTGTGCGTGTAAGTTTTTAACTGCTTGTCTTGCTCGCTTTTCTTTTAACCCATTGCTTTTATCTGTACCTATTGAGGATCTTTTAGTGTGTTTTATATCGACGCGGTGTATGAAAAACCACGATGTATGTGTGGATCACCGAGAATACATATCATATCATATCATATCATATCGGGGCGTTCCACGACAAATCAACAAGTGCCCTGCACCCTCATATTTTATTTTTTGCTTAACCCGCGCCCCAGTGGCGGTCTCAGCCAACTTCGTCGTAGTGGGGGGGGGGGGGCATATGTTACCACCCACCTCTAACTCAAAAACTAAGAGGGCTAGAAAGACGCGGTAAAAAGCAGTCGATAGCTCTCAATGCGTACGTTTGAAAGTATTCCAGTCATTGTTCATCTTAGAGCAATATTGGGGTCACCAGAGGTCATCAAGGGTCAAAATTTGCCAATGGTCATTATATTTTTCCGAGAAAACATGCCGCTATCTCAGGAACTATGGTAGCTAGAAAAACGCATTGAAAAGCAATCGATAGCTTTTGAACTCTTCTTTTGATAAGGTAATAATCAAAATTGACCTCAGGTCAACGGTTTAGCCTCCAGAGGGCAAAACCTCCAAAAATAGCTGTTTTTACGAAAAGTGTTTTTCGACAATAACTTTCGACAACAAAAAGCAACGACATTTCTATTGCCAGAATCGTGTTCCTCTCGCCGAGACGCGTCGAATGAATTATAATTTGACCTTGAAAGGTCAACTTCAAAATTTGACCTCAGGTCAAGGTCATGACCTGACCGGAAAAAGGTCATGTTGCATATCAGTCGATGCGTCTCGGCAAGGCCAACCGCACACACAATGAGGCCAACCGCAGCGTTCTATCTCTTTCCAATCTAGAGTTATTGGCAAAAAGCTGTTTGTAGCCTCAAATGACCTCGGATGACCTGTCTAGAGGCTATCAGCAAAAAAGACACCTTGGTCGTCACGAGTGGTCCAAATCATTGTGATTCTGAAATATTTGGACTGTTCCTATGCGTACACACGGATCTAGAGGCATTTTCGTTTTTCTCCATTGACATATAATGGAAAGGTCACGCCACTGACCTGACCTTAGGTCACGCATATAAACATCAATAAAAAAATTTTAATTCACAAACTTAAAACGTCATATCACATATCAGGTTCGGCACTGAGCTGGCTGACGTCATACCTCAACAATAGGCAGCAGCGCGTTGTGATGAACGGGAAGTGTTCGGATTGGTGCTGTGTCACATCCGGCACCCCGGAAGGTGGCGTAATTTCTGCTCTGTGTTTCGCGCTCTTCATCAACGACCTGTCTGTTGGGATGTCCTCCCGGGTACTTCTTTTTGCTGACGACGCCAAAATTTATCGCAAAATAGCCTGTCCAAAAGATGCAACAAGCTTACAAGGAGATCTTGAACGTCTGCACCAGTGGTCGAAAACTTGGCATCTCAGGCTAAACCCATCAAAATGCAAAACGTCAGAATGACTCTAAAAACAAAACCACTGGTCACGGCATATTCAATCGGAGGCACGGTTGGAACATGTGAACGAAATTCGAGATTTGGGTGTTATTTTGGACACAAAACTTACATTCGGACCCCACGTTCATCAGATGGCATCAAAAACAAATCGTGCTTTGGGTGTCCTAATCAGATCGTATCAAAGGGCTACCCCGGGAGGACATCTCAATATCAATGTATCATCTGTCATGGTATCATACTTCGCCTATGTTCGTTCCAACATGGAATACTGCAGTGTAATTTGGAGTGGAGCCGCCGCAGTGCATCTCGACAGGATTGGCCGGATCGAACACAAGTTTTTAATGTGGCTGAACGCAAGCTGTCATCATCGCTCAACTTCCATCTCATATGCCGATTTGTTGAAACATTTTAACCTCACTTCCGTATCTGCCAGGCTGGTGCAGCACGATATCATGTTTGTTCGCAACGTGCTTAGAGGCAGAATTAAGTCCGCACTCTTGCTGCAGGCGTTCTCGCTTAGTGTGCCTATCCGCGCAACTAGGCAACAGGCGAGTGCGCTGCTGCATGTGCCATTTGCAAGGGTGAACGCAATGAAAAACGGTTTATTTACAAGGCTGCCGAGGCAGCTCAACCGGCTTGTAGAGAGACTTCCCGCGGTGGACGTGTTCTGCGACGGTATTTTCACATTCCGTAGCAGCGTCAGACATTTTGTGGCGGAAATGTGACGCTAATGGAAATGCCTCGCTGAATTCGATGTGCCTGCCTGGCAGGTTCATTCATTTCATTTACTAGCATTTTACTGGCATCTTGTCGTCATCATTGTTGTCACTTATCGCACTCTATTGAGTATTCTTATTCTTATATTTATTTATACCTTCTATCTTTTATATCTATTTTTTTATTCTTTTTTACCGGCCGTTTATTTATTGGTCTTTTATTATATGTATACCTACCCGAGTGTGTCGTCTTTGTACCTATGCATGTAACTTATTCGTTTTAAAAGTGCGACTTCGTCTTTTAATGGGTCCTCCCGTCGGCGATATGAATAAATAAATCAATAAATAGATAAATAAATAAATCCGAGATATACAAATTGTAGGCGCCCATAACAGCATGCAATCCACCAAGTTTCAAGCCTCTCTGACAAACACTGCAGGCTGGACAGGATTGCAAACTTTTTTTTAGACTTGGTCAGTTAACCCTCGCCCATGTCGGGGGGGGGGGGGGGGGGGTTGGTGCAACCCCCCTGAGGTTTTTCTTAGCTACACGCCGAACCGTTTCAGATAGCCTGCTCAAATTTTCAGTACCCTATGGGGCATCCTTTGCGCAACTTTTGGTATTTTTTATGTCAAGGTCATGTCAGGTCACGGAGTAATGACGTCATAAAGGGAACAACCTCCGGCCAGATTTACGCTAAACTGGAGATTGCTTCACATTGGTATAAATGCCGACTGACCTGACACACTGATGGATTGTTTTAGAATCATAACTGGCTGATTTGACATTGACACAATGTCCGTTGACATTTTGAAGGTTACTTAAGGTCAAGGTAAGGTCAGTGACCTCGGTTGACCTGTAATAACTTCTTGCACTTTTATGCCTTTTCGGGGTATTTTGATGCCCTGAATTCGAATTTGCTATCCATTTCAGGCATCGTCTGTTGTTTCTTATAGTTCATTTTGGGTCAGGGTCAGGTCAGTGACGTCACACGCCTGACGTGACCCAATGCACAAATGACCTTGCAGACTTCCGATGCTCCCAACGCATCATTTTTAGAGTTATGACATCGAAATACACACCAAACGATAGAGAATTGATCAAGGATCACGATAGTAAAGGTTTCAAGTCGATATCTCTTACCGTTTTGCCGCAATCCGCGCGGAAATCTGAAAAAGTTAGATTTTTCCGAAAATTTGACCTTTGACCGGTCATAAGTAGGTCAAATGTTGACCTAGGACCAAAAAATATACCACCAATAGCGAGATCTCGTTGAGAGCAATCCGTTGGTCTCTTCCGCTAAGCTCTACGACGCTCTGTTTTCAAACGCCAAGGGGGGGGGTCGCACCTGCATGGGCGAAGGTGGCAAAACACCGTTTACGGGCGAGGGTTAACTTGACCTGGTGACCTGACCTGACATGACCTGGGGTCAAAAATTTCACACATTGTCCAAACTTGATGTACAAAAAGCTACCCCGAATTTTGAATTTTATTATATATAATTTTCAAAATTTTCAAAATTTTGAAAATCCGAGATAGCAGTCTAATAGCGCAACTATTCTGAGTCCTCTCATGCAAAGAAATTGGATCTTGCTTAAAAACTGAGCTCTTGGGAGCAATTGCCGTAGTTCAATGTGTTGCGTCGAAATCGGCCGAACATGACGTCACTCTGACGTCATTTCCGGCCGACCTATGGTAGCTAACGAAGCTCATATTTTGACACAAGGTGTCAAATTGATGCAGCCGACGCCCGAAGGCACTGAAAGTTTGGCGTCGATACGTCAAGCGGTTTGGAAGTTATTGCAGAAAAACGGGAGAGGGGGGCTATGATATGCCCCCCCCCCAGTGGGGCGCGGGTTAACGCGGTAAAATTATCTGAAAATGCCCTGTAGGCATAAGAAAATGACCACGTTTCCATGGGCACTTGTCCTGATTCCATGGACATCATCCACCCAGCAACTGTCGCCAGTTTTTGAAAGAAGGCGTTTTCAGCTATCATGCCACTGATGGTGCGTGCCAATTGGTATGGATGTCTGCGCTGATTGAGGGCAAACAACGGCGCCGAGCGACCGTGCAGAAGGGCTCATTACATCTCAGACAGCTGGGTCTGAGGCCACTGTGAAAAAGGTGACCGTGCGATAGGCAATCGGCGTGTTAATCCATTCATGCCGATGCTATTCCTGTCCTATCCAATCCGCCCTGAGCCCTCCTGTAGAGCTAGCAGCCCTATCTGTGATGGTGTGACCGCGCACGGCGCAGCATACATACATCGAGCCTATCCGACCCAGCCAGAGTGGGTTTAGATATGACATTTTGACGGGGATCGTTGTCACGGGACCCCACTGCGTGGGGCTGCAGCTATGACATCAGGCCGCTGGTCACGGGACACCATTTGCCGGCCGCGAGCCCGGTATTTAAACCACCCCCCACCGTCCGCCGTCAGCAGACCTCCAGTTGTCGGTCAAGAGGACGGACTGATTTCGCGCTCCTGCAGCTTGCGTCCATAACATGTGAGTAACCACCCAGTGGTGAATTGTCGTTCACGGCAAGCTTTGGTGGACGCCATTGCTTGTTTATCTTTCGTAACAATGCTAGGATTTTGGTCTTTTTTTAAACTGAGATGACAAACTATTTTTTAAAACGTCATGCATATTGCATAGCACTTAGCACTTAGCAGGCATGGTTCCAACGTTATTAATGGGTAGTTCGCAACAAGAATGACTAAGATTCAGTCTAAAATCTTATTCATTACTGATGCTTAGTTATCCCTTAGTTATCTATTTATGACTTTTATACAACCTTTTAACTCGCTTATAACTTTTCATTATTTTGGTCTGTTGCAGATCAACATGCCTACCGGAAAGGAGATGGGCCAGCAGGCTACCGATAACCGATCCAACCAGTTGAACCCGAACAACCCAACCTACCAGGGGGGAGCCAACCGACACACCGGCAACGCCGACTCCTTCGGGAAGTCGGCGGCCGACAACCGCTCCAACCAGATGAACCCCAACAACCCCAGCTACCAGGGCAAGAAGTGAGCGCTGCCGGGCCTACACGCCGCGGTAGCACTGCCATCGTCCAGTGGCGGGAAACATTTCCCATCAGCGGGTCGGGTGCCACAGCTGCGCTGACGCTTATATCCTGTTCATTGAAAATGATTCGCTGATCGCTCAGTAAACATGTAAACATGCTCCGTAAACTCGCTTAGGACGGCAAACACTGTGCCTCGTCTTTGTCAGAATAAGTGAACAATAAACTGAAACAGTAAATGCCTGGTTTCTATTGTCACGAGCTGAATGAAAGCCGCAACTCGAGCCAGGGAGGCGGTAGCCCGATCGCAACACATCGAAGGGGGGAAGGGGGGGGGACACGCCGTACTCGATCGGCTTGCGGGCCCGATGCTATACAGTGACGTACTGCTCTATACACGGCTTTTGCCTTTTGGTAACACCACGTAACACGTAGCATAATGCCGGCGCTGCCAAACGTGCATCCAAATCAACGAACCGATTCCTGGGACCAGGGCTGCGGAGTCGGAGTTGGAGTCGGAGTCGGAGTTGTCCGAAGTTGACAATTCTGCCCGGAGTCGTAGTCGGAGTCGCCAAAATCTTACCGACTCAGGCTCCGGAGTCGGAGTTAACGCTGCATGGCTCAACGTCATGCCCTGCACCTGTTTGATTGACGATACTGCGCTTGAAATTAGATTTCGTCGAAAAAAAGACCATTTCGCTGTTTTGGAAGAACGTTTTCAGCGAAAGAAGAAGACGGTGATTTCCCCAGAACCTGCTTTTTAATTCTGCATGTTAGGTATCTTTAATGCATATGTGCAACGCAAAGCCTTGGAACGCACAAGGGACCGATTCAGTCTCAGCAGCCGCAGGCGATGACTCATCCCGCACCCAGTCTTTCGGCACTCGGGTCAGCTCGTCTGCTCGATTCGCTGCGCTCCGCACTACAGAGTTACAGACAGCGACAGCTCGAGCTCATCCACCAGAGCTGTCGAAGCATATCGACTCTGCGTCTCTGTGTGCTTTCGCAGCCGAGTGCGGCCGCTCAATGCATCATCGAACCAACAGTACCTACACTGCCTGCAAGTCCGTGCGTAGACCAATGACGAGCATGTCCAAACCGATGGCCATGCTGACGCCTCTCACAGCCGCATTTAGCTCGGCAACATTTAAGTGTGTGAAATCATCAATATCAGTCCAGGGTGTTGATGTAGGGAGCACTAATTTTTTCTCTTGAGGCCAAGTCACTTGACTAACGTGACCTCTTAACCCGACCCGACGTTGAGTGGCATAGGTCTGAAATATATGCATGTATGTACGGAAAAAATGTAGAACGGCACCGTAGGCGTAGATGTGTGATATTCGTGAAAAAACTAAGCGGGGGAGAAGGACGTCAAAAAGCCTCCCCCGCCGTAACACGCGTCAGATCCCCCTCTCACATAGCCCGAGTGACGTTATTCAAGAGCTAAATATTCGTAGCTACTCGTGAAGTGGTGAATAAGCCTAAAGCACCCATTCTGAAGCTACAGAAGCTACTGTGCATATTCGGTGCCACCTAGTGAAATACCTCATCCATAGGCCATTAAATCAGTCCCTACATTATGCTCAAATATACAATGTATTACTTGTATATCATCACGAAAGGCTAGTACCTAGCTTTCTATCCCTCCGGTGGGCTAACATCGAAGCCTCTCGAAACAGAGCCTATCGACAGCGATTGTCGCGCAAATACAAGAATCAAACATGAACCAGCTTTGTCATGACAGCGAGGGGGGGGAGGGGATATGATATGGTAACGTCTGCCATGCGTCGTGGTTCCTATCCCACCCCGCCGGAAATCTTCAAGTTGCAACACGGCTGCTTGTGCAAGATGACTCAGTCTCCAAAGCCTCCAATCGCTTAGCCTCCATATCGCTCGCCAAACACACTATCAGCTGGTGCTAAAATAGACTTCAGGTGATGAATTAGACCTTATGCTGTGATAGCGGATCCCGTCCTTTGTGTGTAAGTTCCACTATTCGCTTCTCGCCGTACTTCACCTTTCATTGCATTGCATGATTCCCTTTAGATATCGTGTACTGTAGCTCTCGCCGAGGCGGCGGGGGGGAGTGGTTTTAGCCCCCCCCCCGCTCTCAGGTTTTTGTCAATAACTCAGAAACTATCATAACCAGCTGACTGGTATTGCAGTTAGTTAACCCGCGCCCTGCTTGGGGGGTTAGGGTGATTTGAACACCCTCTGCAGTTTTTCGCAAATATGTCAAAAACGGATCCGCGCCGCCGTTTTTGGCACCCTTTCTTATACTAATAATCTTTTTACACATGTTGTAAAAAAAAAAATCAGGCCAAGGACTATCAATGTCAGGTCACCAGGTCAGGTCAAGTGACCTCACCTCAAAATAAGTTCCAATGTTTGCCATTAACCGAGTGACGGATCGCTTTGACACTTTCAGCAATTCATGGCAATTCAATTCAATTCAATGGGAAATATAGTATGTATTACGTCTCGGAATTCTGATATCTGTGACCTTAGGTCAGGTCAATTTTGTGACTTCTCCATTACCTACCTTAAAGCCAAAGAGGGAAAATTGAAATGCGCGTCTTTTGGACTAAAGTCAAACTAAACCCTTCAAACACCGAGTTGCAAGTAAACATGACACACTGAACCCAAAAATGGCACTCGCTATAACACCAAGTGAACGGCATATTATCGAAAATCGTCCATAGGGCGTTGGCTGCTTACATATATGTTGCTAAATGAGGTCGCTGATATTAGGTCAGGTCACAGGGTGACAATACGATTCCGACTGTACTCGGGTAGTGTAATACATGTTTTATGGCCAATTTACATTTCCATTCAAATAAGCGACCATAAGGGCAAGTTTAAGCTACGTTCTGGTGGAGGTCAGGTCAAGGTCAGGTTAAAAAGCAGCAAAAGAGTTTAAATTTTAAAATGGATATTTTTGCATTAAAAGGTTACCTATTCGATGCAGCTTGTTACCGGGAATCCAATAGACAATAGTGGTCTTTGTTTTACCCATAGGTGGTCTAGAACGGCTAAAAATTGATTCCGACAATTTAACGTCATGAATTTTGTGTTTGTACAACTTTGCCAGAAATGAAGCTACCGAGGTCAGATTTGGCACGTCGACAGGCGAATGTCGGCTCTATAACAAATGTTTCGTTTTGTTTCAATTTTTTGTTGTTTTTTGTATTTTTAGTATTATAAAATAACATTTTTGAATTTCTCAGATCAAAACAAAAAATCAAATATCATAGATTGCAGTGTTGCAGCCCTGTTTATCCAGCACCTTTTTAGTGTTAAACACTTTTCTCTATCTTCAAACTGTAGGCGTGACAGCTCTTTCTTCAAAACTTTTTCAAGGAGGAAAATGGCATAGCTTAACGTCATTTGTGGTCAACCTTTGACTCTAGAAACATTTTAGGCCGCAAGATGTAAAATGGATGCCCGAAGAGGTCCTAAAAGTTTGGTGACGATATCTGAGATAGGTGCGTACTTTAGAAGATATCGACTGAAAAGGAAAGGCGTCGGCACGCGGTGCGGGAGATTCCGAGCTCAGGAGAGTTGGAGAAGGTAGGAACACGATTAGACGGTCCGAGAGCCCGGTATTTAACCCGGCGGCCGCTGGGCCTCCGCGCCACCCGCCGGCCGCTGGGGGGGGGGCATATAGTTGCCCCCCCCCCCCTTTACTTCTGCGACGATATCGTCGCAACGCGAAGAGATAGAGAAGCGAAACTTTGCACACATCTTCCTGAATACCTAGCCGAGGTTGTGTCCAAATTTGGTGTCGATCCCATCTGAAATGACGTCACAGTGACGTCATAAGTGAAATTATAGATTTGCGACTCTCATATTCCTCACGATACATCACATATATGGGACCGAATATAAAGGGCCGATTACTGGTCAGAAACTAGATGGAAGTGTAGTAAGATGTTTTAGGATGGCAGCAGGTGCTGTTTAGTTCATTTACAGTCGAGTTTCATGCTCAGCGTCATCAGAAACGGTCCATATCGGAAAACGACAAAACTTTATGACGTCACTGTGACGTCATCTTAGGTGCTACAACCACCAAACTTTCCTCAAACATTGCCTAGGTATTCATTTGAAGCTATGCCAAGTTTCACGTTCGTAGCTCATCAGGTTTCGGAGATATTTCACAAAACGTAAAGGGGGGGCAACTTTATGCCCCCCCCCCCCCCAGCGGCTCGTGGGTTAACGCACCGGCCACCGCCCACCGCCATCAGACGTTCAGTTATCGTTCAAGAGGACGGACTGATATTCGCGCTCCTGCAGCTAACCATAGCACGTGAGTACCTTTGCCACCCAAGGTGATTCGTCGTTCAGGGCCAGCTTTTGGTTGACGCCATTGCTTCCTTATCGTCTGTAACCATAGACCTCTGTAACAAATAACAATGCTAGAATTTTAGTTATTTTCACTATAGGATCACGAACTTTTTCTCAAAACAACGTCTATTCATAGCAGGCACGATTCGAAGTCGAACGTTATATGAAAATGACACCTAACTTTGTAGGCAGACAGGGATCGTTTGTAGGCAGACGTTATCTTTGTAGGCCATTTCGTTCTTCAAGAAGTGTAACATTACCTACCTTCACCTAAGCACTAGTTAGGTAGGATAAGTCATGAATATAGTAGGTATTTCACAGTCAATTTGTGACTAACATATATATATATATATATATATATATATATATATATATATATATATATATATATATATATATATATATATATATATATATATATATATATATATATATACCCAACAGTAGCGGCGGAACACCTTCAATTAAGGGGGGGGGGCACTGCCGACTTTTGGTCCCATTCTTTCCATGCAACGCCCATAGGGCTAATGTTAAAATGTCAAAATCAAAGGGGGGCACGGTGCCCCGGTGCCCTCCCCGTTCCGCCGCCTATGATACCCAATCAAGAGCCCTGAACTGAATCTGAATCGCCACTCACTCATTTTTCGCTCGGTCACCGATCGTTTTTATTTTGGTCTTTTACAGATCAGCATGCCTACTGAAAGAGAGATGGGCCAACAGGCCACCGATAACCGGGCTGAACAGCTCAACGAGAACAACTCTAAGTACCAGGGAGGGACCAACAGACACACCGGCAATGCCGAATCCTTCGGGAAGGCGGCGGCCGACAACCGCTCAAAGCAGATGAACACCGAAGGCAACGACCCCAAACAACAGGACAAGAAGTGAGCTCTGCCAGTCCTTCTTGACGCCGCGGCAGCACCATGAGGCCGTGCGGTAGCCGCGGAACATTCCCCATTGCGCCCCCGCTGCGGCTGCGCTGCGCTCATACCGTGCCCATTGAAAATGATTTCAGTGATCTCTCTGTAGACATGTGCTCGCGCACGACGCCACACGCTGTGATTCGTCTTCGTCATAATTAGTGAACAATGCACTGAAACAGTAAATGCCTGGTTTCTACTGTCATGAGCAAAATGAAAGCCATAACTCGGGCCAGGACGGCGGATGGCCCGATCGTAACAGATGAAGGCGGCAGAGGGGGGCGGGGGGAGGTCACACAGGGGCGTCGTTTTGTATAGGCCTGGTAGGGCCCGAGCCTTACCAATGTTTATTTGGGCCCTACCAATGTTCGCTGAGCCCTACCAATCTTTGTCACTTATCAGTTGATAAAAAATCAAAATAAACAGATAAGCAAATATTAAATAAGCACATATGCAAGTACATAAATAAGGTTCTAGCCACAGTAGGTGCATGAAGCTGACAATGAGGTTTCACGTGTCTAGAACTCCGGTCCTTAATGGATTTTAAGCGGCTCGAAAACGCAATTGGTTATAGAGGTCCATAACTGCCTCTGAGTCCCGCATACCACGCGACCGCCCCTAATAGACCCCGATCCGTCTCCACACCAGCCACTGGAGGCCCTACACCGACTTCGGAAGGTGCCGCGGTGCTCCAGAATAGGCCATAGGTATATTGATTTGAGTTGGTGATGCAGCCTGATTCCCCAGGGTTCAACGCCAGGTCATTACCGCATCAGACCCCGAAAACTGAAGCTCGTACCTACGAGGGGCGTTCAAAAAGTTTCGGGCCGAACAATGAAGGAGTTGGAATTTTGGCCTGCAAGGCGGTGTGTTAACCCGGCAGTTGCTGGGGTATTTCGCCACCCACCGTTTGCTGGGGGGGGGGGGCGTTAAACGCCCCCAGCCGATAACTCGAGAACCAATAGGCGCAGCGAAACGCACGAGGCGGCAAACGAAAGAACGCGACGAGACGCCTCAGATGAGTACTTTAAAGTTGAATTTTGAGGTCACAGGTCAGGTCAAGGTCAGGTCAAACACCTGAAATCGGGCTTTCAGTAGCATGGACTTCAGGACTTCGCAATGGGCGCCTCTCGTCATAAACTCTGTCAAAACGGTGCACAATACATCATATAAGGCCTACAAGAGTGTCAGCTCCATGCAGGGGTCAGTCAAGCATAGGTCAGGGTCAAGGTCAGGTCAACCGGGCAGGCACATAACCCCGAAAATAAAAACTGATATTCGCAGCCTGTGACACATGTTTTATGGGTAATTTGGGGCGTAGAACACGATGGTGACATTCATTTTATATATGTGTACGTGTTTGGCTAAAAAAGTTCAATTTAAGAAATTCATGTATCATGGTCGTGAAGTAGTCACGAGAAATTGCCAAGATTCAGTTGAAGATTTTGGAAAATACGGAACAATAATCAATAATCGAAGATAGCCATTTGATTCTCCATGGTATTGGCAGTCTAATGGCGTTTACGGCATGTCTATATGTCTATTCTGTGATTTTATATGATTTTTTGAACATATGCCGTTTTTGGTCGAAAACTCAGAAATCATGACGTCACTAAAACCTCGATATCTCAAAAATTTTCCGACCGATTTTTTTGAAGCTTTGTCATAATAAACTTAAATCAATTCCCTACAGGTACCCAAAATTTGGCGCGCCTGCGGCGCGCCGTTTTTATGCTATGGCCCGGCGAAAAAAGTGGGGGCGTTTAACGCCCCCCCCCCAGCAACTCGCGGGTTAATTGATGTGTTATTGGGATATCCACTTACGCAAATTAAGTAAGTGGCTATTAATTAAGTCTCTTCTCTGATTGATTCGGGCTTCTATTCGTAGCATAGTTCGCCATTTCGGATAGGATGGGCGACGCCCAGAAGAGAGCAGTGATTCGTTTTTATAGTAGTTAGTGCAGAAAAGGCACCAAGCGTTAACCCTCGCCCTGGGCATTTTTCATAACACGGCCTGGCAGGGGGAGGGGTCGATGCGACCCCCCTCCGCTCGTCAACTTTCCAAAACAGGGGCACACAATTGATGATGTGCGTCCATTCGATAAACATCGAGGAGAGGCTGGGAAGCTGACGTAAAGTGTGCACCTGATCCGCGACCACGCACCTGCGTACATGGGCGGGATGACGAACAGTGAAGCGATGAGCTTCGAGTTGTTGTCGCATCCACTTTTTTCTCTCCGAACCTTGCACACTCTGGTTAGTGGTTGCCACCTCTTCCCCAACATAAGAAAATTAGCAGCGGCAACCTCGCTAACAGCAGGGAGACGTCTGAGACGAAATCAGCCGTCTTGGACGTGCAGGATGGGTCCAAAACCCACTTGGTTATGGAGGCCTTGAGGGCTCTCGCGAAGCGCTGCGCGAAATGTTATTTGAATAAATGAACTTTTTGGTCTAATGAGTCGATGCTGTATCTCTCTGCTCCTTCATGGTCGGGCCCGTAGCTTTCTGAACGCCCCTCGTACTGTCATCCTTTTATTTTGGCAAGCAGGTCTTTCTAACTATCGTTGTGTTTCCAGTCCTCGTTAGTTGTCGAACCCTTCAATTGGCGTGGGTCTTCAAAACCGTTCCTGGCCCCGCAGCCGTCTTTTTTAGTCGGCTTGGGCCCTCAAAGCTGTTCCTGTCCCCTTTCAGCACAGCCGTCCTTTTAAGTCGATGTGGGCCTCTTTCAGAATGGCGTGCATTCCTCCGACACTATTGCCTATATAACTGCACGTTTTGTGCATGGCGTCCGGTGTAGACCCAGATTTCCAAAGTTTTTTTTTTGTGTTTTTTTTTAGATTTCGGTTAGTCTTGTCAATGACCAGGGCGAAAAATAAGTGGCCGAAATCCGATGAGAAAGGCAGATTTGGGGGTACCCTACCTTGTAAGCCCCGTCATATATGGCCAGCCGCCGCCTTTGGGCACTACCAATCATTTTCGGAAAACGACACCCCTGAGGTCACATCCGCTATCTGCTCCTGGGCCCAATCAGATAAAGTGACGTATTATTTATGACGTTTCGTAACATCGTTTAACAGCTAACATGATTCATGATACCGGCGTTGGCAAAGGTGTATCCAAATCTTGACGAAACGATATCGGCACCGTCAATATGAGCATGCTCGTACTTTGTAGGTACAGCCTTCATCACACTGCGTGGTAGGCATCGTTTCTTCCGACAAAACCAGTAATACCTAAAAAACTACGGTCACTCGGATATCGCATCACCAAGACGCGCGAGGTTCCACACCTTAGAGTAGGCTCACATATGGTAAGCATTTTCCATTCAGTTTGGCAACAATACACAAAAGTTTCTATTTGCCCGCAAAACAAACTTTTGTCTTTCGTTGCCAGTCCCACACTTGGCGTAAAGTCTAGTTAATGAAAGCCAGACATGTGCGTGGATCTGAGAAAATGGATCTGGGATCTGATCCCACGGATCCTGATCTGGGATCCGTCGGGGTCATAGATCCGAGCCTAATATTTTGCTTGAGATCCAGTGAGATCACAAATCCTCATTTATTTTTGTCAACACAGAAATAAAAAAAACACTCGTAACTCACAAGCGTTCTTATTTAGTGATTTATGTAATGGCACATCATAAGCCATAGCTTTATGGCACTTATTGACATAGAAACACTCAGGGGCGGAGCTTCCTATACAGTTGGTGGGGCGGCTGCCCCACCAACTTGGCATTTTGCCCCACCAATAAGCGTTTTGCCCCACCAACTTTAGCTGATTACGAGCGAGCGAGCGCAGCGAGCGAAGCGAAGTCTTATCCATATAACGGAAAAATCTCAGTATGAGCGGCCCGGCCCGGCCCGGCCCGGCCTGTAACGCTTTTGAGAGGCTTATATCTCAGCAACCGCTGGACCGAATGGCCTGCGGTCTTTTTTGCTGGGTGGCCCAATCCCTTCTACCCCGTAATTGACTACTTTTGATACATCTCAGTGACCGCCGTGGCACGTGCCACGTGAAAAGTCAAGGGTGTTCAAGCAGTTTTGCAAAAGTAATGATTTTGAGAGGCCCATATCTCAGCAGCGGCTTGAGCGATTGTCTTGCGGTCATTTTTATAGGGTAGCTGCATCCCTTCTACCAAAGGTCGGATACTCTTCATCTATGTGAGTGACCCCCACTGCACGTGCAAAATACAACAATAAGAGGTGCCAAATTTGTTCCCATTTCAGTAACTCGGTAATTACTGGGGCGATTTCGCTGAAACTTGGCATACAGGTAGGCACCCACCAGGCAATGCATTCCCATGTGTTGCGGTTAGGGTGCTACTGCACGTGCGCACGTGCAGGGGGCGTTTCCAGATCTCGAGAACGGCTGGGCCGATTGCGCTCAAATTTGGTACACGGTTGGGGACCGGTTAGTAGGGTGCCGTGCAAAAGTCATTTTGGACCCCGTTTGCACGTGCGCACGTGCAGAATGCCGCTTCCAGATCTCAGGAACGGCTGGGCCGATTGCGTTCAAATTTGGTACACCGCTAGCGACCGGTTAGAAGGGTGCTTTGCACAAGCCCGTTGGAAGTACCCTCTCGCCCTTCTGCACGTGCAGGGCTCACTATCTCGCTCGCTCGTTCTTCGCCCAAAAGGCGTTTTACTGGTTTCTAAGACTTTGTTGCTTTGCAAATTAATCTTTTTCGCATTGAAGAGCTTTGGAATGTCTATTTAATGCGAAATATTATATCTGTAATGATAGGAATTGATACAGCCTGGCATTTTATTCAACTTCATAATCGGACATAGTGGGTTTGACGACTTTTTGCCCCATTAACTTCCTTGGAAAAGTTCCACCCATGGGGAGACTTGGTTTCAAATGTTGTGCATGGTGGGATCCACTCAGATCATATATCCATATTCTTGGTTTATCATCAGATCCTGTGAGATCATAGATCCAGGATAATTTTTTCACGCCGGATCCGGTGGGATCATATATCCGAACCTGCAGTTTTCTTCGAGATCCTCTGAGATCATAGATCCATCACTCGGATCCATGCACATGTCTGATGAAAGCCCCAATCGAAAGAGTGGGCCATGACGCATCTCTGTGTTATGAATTCCTTTCGACTGGAAACATCAAGATAACATAAGCTTTGAGTTATTGTCGATTCTACAAAAAAAGTACATACCTAGCACGCAATGTTATTGAGGGCTTACCTACTGAGCTGAGATGCGTAAAAACCAGTCCGCAAAGACATTTAACCGTCTTTGCGGCTGATATTCAGCCAATACCGCCAAATTCTCTCAGTCATGTAGGTAAGGTCAAAATATGGTCTGATATGATGTCAACTGAAAATTTAGTGTTCCGGATTTTGACAGTCCAGTTGAAGTACTAGTCTACTAGAGGCCAAACAACTTGGCATTGCCCCCCCCCCCCCCCCACCACCACCACCACCTCCATGGCGGAGTTGGCTGAGACACCCATGCAATAATTGCATCAAGTTAAATTAATGCATCAATTTTTATCTTTATTCCACCTAAAGCGTATTGATTTTTACATCATGAGCCGAGGAAAGAGTAGGTAGTGCTATCTATATCTCCGGTTGGCTATTATCGAAGCCTCTAGAAGCAAAGCCCATCGATTTTCGGCAGCGATTGTGATGGAATTAATCAGCTTTGCTTATAGGTACATCACGGGGGGAGGGGTTGCGATATGATATGGTCGTTTGCTATGCGATATCTCACCCCACCGGAAACCTCTGTTGCAACACAGCGCGCGGCTTGTGCAGAATGAGTCACCTCCCTATGCTTCCATATCGCTCGTCAATCTTTCTATCGGCTGCTGCCTAAATAAACAGGAGAAAGTTGAACTCCTCTTCTTTTGGACGACTCATCCCCGTAAAGGCTCTTTCCGCATTCAGGAAATCGCATGCGAGAGCCTATTCAAATAATACATTATGATTCTGCCAGTGCCCGCATCAATCGCATGCAGGAGGTGAGTGCGATTGATCCCAGTGCGGTTCCATGTATATTCGAATAGGCTCTCGCATGCGATTTCCTGACTGCGGGAAGTCTGTTGCAGGCTTTCAGCACTCTCAGACACGGGCTAGGGCTACCTACATGTTAACATGACACACTGAATAAGAAAATTGCACTCGTGACCACTCTTTATCACCCTGACATTTTACTTCATGAAAGCTTTCCAGCGATTTTTAATAATTTTAGCAATTTAACCCGCGCACCGACGGGGGTCTGCGCCAACTTCGCACCGACGGGGGGGGGGGGGGGCGGATGACCGCCCCCCCTGAGATCTCGAGAACGAAGCAAGATAGCGACAAGCGGTAAACGGCATCGGATACGCACGGTCAAGATCTACAATTTTTACTAAGGTCATTTTCAGGTCAGGTCAAAGATGACGTCACAGGGGTCGAAAAAGTCAAAATGGCGGTGCTAGATATTGAGAGTTTTTCTCGAATAACTTTCGAATTAGTCAACATAGGAACAAACTAAGGGTTTCATCGTGATCCTCTCGTCAATCCGCATCGAATGATATATATGTTGACCTCGAAAGGTCAAGGTCAAAGGTTGACCTCAGGTCACGTGACCTCGAGGCCATCATGTATATCATTCGATGCGTCTTGACGAGCTGAACACAATGAGACCATCCACGCGGCTGTATCTTGTTCCTGTACGGAGTTATTGGCCAAAAACCTTTGGTGACCTTTGATGACGTCACATGACCTCACAGCTGCCCAACAGCAAAACAGACATCAAGGTAGTGAAGGTTGATCGTATATAAAGTCATGTATGGTATATGGGGCCATTCCGACCCGTTTTAGTGGTAAAAATAGGGAGTTGATTTTTCCCCCATTGACTTATAATGGGGAGGTCGCGAAATTGACCTGACCTTAGGTCACCGATATCAAAATTCCGAGATATACAAATTGTAGCTTCTAATGACCTAATAACATCCTGCGACTTTCAAAGGCCTCCGACATCTACTGTAGCTCTGGCACGGTGACAAAGTTGCAAAAAAGTGACTTGAGGTTGGGTCATTCAAAGTGACCTGGTGACCTGACCTTAAAAGGTAGGAGGTTCAAACTTGCACACCATGTGTAAAATTGATGAGGGAATAGTCGTACCATATTTCGCGGCGCTACGCGCCGCGGTTTTCCCGCTATTCGCGAAAAACCTCAGGGGGGGCGGATATCCGCCCCCCCCCCTGTCGGTGCGCGGGTTAATACTTTTAATAACGTTTGACAGGCATGCCAGAGCGATGACAATGTCATTACATTGGATGTGTTCAGCTCAATGATAAGGATCGACCATAAAATCCAGCATTGTCTTTTCCGGGCATGACCTTGATCTAAAGTCAAACTTTCAAGTTGATCTTAAATTATACTTCATTCGACACGTCTCGACGAGAGATACACGATGCAGGTAAAATAAATGTCTATGAGTAGACAATTATTAGAAAAGAACGTTTTCCGCGGAAACATCGATTTTGACGGATTTTGCCCTGTGAAGGCTACGCCGTTGATCCTCGTTCAAATATGAGAACATTGTTCCGAAAGACCTTAAATATCATGTGCGCTTTCCCGCGGTGATGTAGCTCTATTCGTTCCGAGCTATGCGTCGATTTGTCAAAAATTGTCGAAAAGCCGAAATCTGATCTTTGATGACCTGGTGATCTGACCTTTGACCTGACCTAGCAGTGAACGAAGTACTTTCATCATCATTTTTGACGCTCTTCGTAACCTTTGACACTCTTACGAATACCGCTGACCGTGTGTCGCTGCGTGGCCTAGGACCCAAACTAGACGGGGAGATTTCAAACACCCCCCCCCCCTTCGTCACATCGCACAGTGGGCGATCCGGCCGGTGTAGCCTCGCGAAACCTATCGGCATTCATAACATCCATGTTTTTGAAGCTAGAACCACAACATTTAGGAGCAACCTTCTTGAATATCCAATGAGCATATGCTTTAAATACGGACTATCTCTTGTAGGATTTGTGCTCTGTAGCGAGCTTGCAATTTGCCTAATTGCTGTTCGAATAACGCATGAATACTTTTGAGGGTAGGTCGAAATTTATGACGGTATGAGCTGGG